TAGCCTTGGCTGCAACTTGGGTGTGTCGGCTGTCCTTGATCCCCTTACTGATTGCCTCAGCGATGGATTTGAGGACCTGGTCATGCCTCCATCGATACTGGCCCTAACCCAGCGCCTTGGAGCAGCTGCTCAAGATGTGTTCTAATGTCCCTACTTTGGAACAAAGGGGGCATGCAGGTGTTTCTATTTTGCCCCATGTGCACAGGTTGAATGGACATGGGAGGACATCATAGACCCCCTGAATCAAGAACTTGATTCTCTGGTGTTGGTTTTCCCATATAGCCCGATGTTACTTAGGCTACGCGGTAGGCCCAGCCATCTACGTAGATAGCTGCTCACCTTTTGCTCAAAACCCTCTACCACAGTCATGGGGACCTCATAGATAAGCAGAGGCCAGAGGATTCTTGGGAGGATTCCATGCTGGTACACCCAGGCCTTGAATCTTCCAGGGAGCCCAGACTTATCAACTGTTCTCAACCATCCCTCCAGGTCAGCACCGGCTGCCTTGATGGAGTCTCTGTCACTCAGTATACAGTTGAAGACCTTCCCAACTCTCAGTGACTGACGGGATCTGGTATTCTCCCAGCCTGAAGCGGAATCTGTCCCCTTTTTTAGAACCAAGGACCTGGACTTTGCAGGTTTGAAGCTCATGCGTGCCCATGTCATGAGTCTCTCCAGCCCCTGAAGAATCCACCTGGCACCTGGTACCACCGTTGCTGTCACTGTGAGGTCGTCCATGAAGGCTCTTATGGGCGGTTGCCTTACTCCGGACTTACTGAGGGGACCTCTGCACTCTGTTTCAGCTGCCTTGACCAGCATATTCATCGCCAGCGCAAATAGGGTCACTGAGATGGTGCAGCCAGTGATTATCCCCACCTCCAGCTGGTGCCAGTCAGATGTTAGCTGGCCAGTAGTGACTCTCAAGCTGAACTTGCTGTAATAGTCCAGGATGAGATCTTTCACCTTCTGCGGTACATGGTGTTTCTCCAGTGCGACCTTCACCAGCATGTGGGGTATTGAGCCATAGGCATTGGTGAGGTCCAGCCACAGTACTGCCAGGTCCCCTCTACCTTCTCTCGCTTCCCTAATGAGCTGGGTTACCATGCCCGTGTGTTCCAGACAACCTGGAACTCCTGGTATACCTCTCTTTTGCACAGACGTGTCGATGTACTTATTGCTCAACAGGAAGTTGGAGAGCCTCTTAGCCACGATGCTAAAGAAGATTTTGCTCTCCACACTGAGCAAGGAGATAACCCGAAACTGGTCGATATTCTCAGACTTCTCCTCTTTTGGTATACACACTCCCTCAGCATACCTCCATGGCTGGGCGATCTTCCCTCTCCTCCAGATCGCCTTCAGGACCCTCCAAAGCCGATGTAGTAGCTTTGGTCAGTTCTTATACACCTTGTAGGGCACTCCACTTGGGCCTCGTGCTGAGCTCGATCTTGCTCTCCTCACCACTTCCTCCACTTCCTTTAGGCGGGGCTCCTTCAGGTAGAAGTCTGATGAAGGCTCTGGTGGTGTTATCAGCGCATCACATGGACCCAGCGGTTGTTCTCTAATGGGGTCACTATAAGTGGCCTTGAGGTGGCCATGAGGTGGCCACATATAGCATCCTTGGAGCAGGTGAGGCGGCCAGCCCTCTTTTGGCCAAGGAGCTGCTTCTCTGCAGGCTCTCTCCTTCCGCCTCATTCTGTGGAACTCTGCCCTCCGTAAGGTCAAGAGTTGTTTCCTTAGGATTGCTCTCAGGTCCGCTAGGCCGGCTCTCTCGACTTCCCCCGCTGACTTGTATTGCCTCTTTAGCAGCCTGAGTTCTTCCCTGAGGCACTGGATTTTCCTTGCTCTGTGGCTTGGAGCATATGCCGATGGAGCAGGCTTGGATGCCTCAGTTCCAAATCGCTCAGCTGCAATGTTCACTATGAGGGTGGTCATTGTTCTCAATCGGTGGTCCACATCCCCCTTAGCTGTTACTTCCAGGACCTGGCTTACATCTTCATCAAATTGTTGCCACTCAGCTCTTTTAGAAGATTTGGGCCACTGAATCCTCGGCTGGACCAAAGGGGCACAGCCAGTTGTTATGACTGCAGCTTGCCGGCGTTGGAGGCCCTGTGGGTTGTCGAGTGATGCTGTTTCTTGGGTTATGGTGGCAAGTGAGCTGCTGGCAGCCGGTGTTGGCGACACTAGGAGGCTCTGGGCACTGTGGGTTGCCTCCGGGCCTAGCTCCTCCTGCGTCTTACCAGAAGTCGCTTCTGTGCGTTGTGTCGTCGATTCCGCTGTCAAGCATCTCATTCTGCCTTGATGGATTTTTAAACCCCTTTCATTCTTACAGGTATTTTCAAATATCACCCGATTTTTTTTTTTATTTCGTTTGAAATTCCAGATATTTTGTAGAAGAAAATATTTTGTACAATGTTACCACACCATTTTGGTTACCCTTGATTTCTACTGTATGGACAAAAATTTCTTGAATTTCTCAAATGATCTCCTGAGAAGAAAGAACTTTAATATTTTTGATGTTTTAAATAAATTTGATATTTATGTTTAATCAGGCTCTTATTGAATTAACATTTTACTTCAATTAAAATTAATTAAACTAAACATTTAAAGAGAAAGGCGCTATTAAAGCTATTCTGTTAAATTATCCTTTACCCTAATAAAATTTACTATAGTTCTTGCATATAATCCAAAGTTTAACAGACTAGTATTAGTAAAACCATGGTCCTCATTACCATGGTTATATGATTATTAAGATAAAAAATAAGTAATAATAAACTATGGAATCTGTATAAAAAAAAATGTATAAACTACAAAATCAACTTCTATAAAAGTAAAATATTCTCAATATTTAATATAAGTAATAACAGTAACATTTATAATAGGGTAGCACCGCTTCACACTTTTGGAGTATTTGCTTTTTTCATTTTCGCATGAGCTGTAATTTAAAAACAGCACCTAATATGTGGGAGGTCTCCCTCGCTTCAGCGATTGGCCCACTACTTGACCATCCCACCGGGAATGTCCCAGTGCTCCCAATGGCCAGAATATGCCTGGATGCAAACATCAAAATAAATTAGTTTGCGAATCATGCACTATGGTAAAAGTGTTTCGAGGTCATAAAATAGTTCTGTGCAAGGAACCATGTTAAAATAAATCTTTATTAATCAATAAAGCCCCTGTAATCATAATTTGTGTGAAAAGGAATAAAAGTTGTTGGTGTTTTACTAGTGTTAATTTTTAGCTGGAAACTGCAGTGAACCCATGTATAGGTATGTCTTTGGAGTTTTGCAAAAATATAAGTAGAGACATGTTTTTCCTACGAGTCTTCGTTGCAAACATGTGCTTACAAATCTAAATTCTATTTCATATTCTTCAGCATGGATAATTCATGCGGTTTAGATATATTCTCACAAAACAAAGCTAGAAAGACACAGAGCCATCAAATCCTGAATGTTTATGTTAGACTACAATCAGACAGACATATTTCTTCAATAAAACTGATAATGTCTCTTTTGGACACATAAACGGGAAAGAATGAGTTGTTAGTACAGACTTGCATTTTTCTATTATCACACACACACACACACACACACACACACACACACACACACACACACACAC